TCTTCTTCGCAGGAGGCCACCTCAACAGCTCCTGGATTGTCCTCGCAATGCATCAGGGGAAACTGGAGCTGCAGCTCAAGTACGGCGCTGTCAGCAGAGTCACCAGCAGCGGGTCCCTCGTCAACGATGGCCAGTGGAGAAAGGTTCCTGCTCAGAAGCTTGAAAAGCAGCTACACATGACGTAAAGAATTTGAACTTACTGAAAACACCTGGGATGTGTTGTCACAGATCTCAGTGGAGGAGCAGGGCCGCAGTCTGGTGATAAAGATCGACAGGGAGGCTGTCATGAAGATCGCTGTAAACGGTGACCTGTTCACGCTGAAGAAAGGCATGCACGAACTTAACCTCACTGTCGGAGGAGTTCCTTTCAGGGAGGATGGCCTCATCAATCAGGTGTTTATTTGTCAGCTTTCCTGATCCACACCGAGGTTAGATCCTGTTCAGATGTTTTCCAACCGTCCTGACTTTGATGCGTAGATAAATCCCCGGCTGGACGGCTGTATGATGGAGTGGCGCTGGCTGACGGGTGAAGACACCTCAATCCAAGAAACCATTCGGTCCAATGACAACATGCAGTGTTTTAGCTCACAGGTTCCTGGAGCTTATTACCCTGGATCAGGCTTCGCTCTCTTCAACATCAGCTATGGTGATTACTCTATCCTCCAGACAGTTAGAGAAAACGCAGAATGATTGGACTTTAAACAAAGCAGTATTACAAAAAATCTAGCAGTTTGAAACTATACCTTTTTAAAACTTTGGTAGTCTTTAATAACATATCCAGGTCCATCCTAAGTACGTACAGTTGTCCAGAAGCATTGGACATTGCACAACAAAGTGTAATTTGTCATTCCTGACTCAAGTTCACTGTTAGGCTTGTTGTGATGACTGTAAGTTGACTTTCACTGACTCTTTCAGTGTATTCTCTACCTTCCTGTTCTCTAGAGTCCAAGAACCTGAGCGTCCAGATGACCCTCCGCCCACTTTCTGGTATCGGAGTGCTGTTTGCGCTGGTTCACCAGGATAAAGTGCCTCTCTCTATCGCTCTGTCTGACTACAATCCCACCACAGAAGAGTGGAGAGACGTGAGTGATTCATAACCCAGCTTTCTCACACATTCATCTTCTTTCCCTGTAAAAACTGATCTTGTGTTTGTTTTTCAGTTCATCCTGGTTTCCGTAGGTGACGTGGTTATCGCCAGCTATCCAGCACCCCTCTGCGACGGCGAGAGCCACAACATCCAGGTGACCATCTCAGGTAACCAGACTCTCCTTGTGGTCGACGGTCAGCCTGGACGAAGCGAAGAATCCGAGTACACCACAGATGTCTTCTCACATTCAAGCACCTTTATAGGAGGTCTCCCAGGTAACGACTAACTCTGTTTTTTCACTTATAAAGTTGATAAAGTCAATATTCTGCATGATCTTAGCGTCATCAAACCTTGTCTCCAGTACTTTCTAGAACAAAGTGTTGATCAGCTGCCAAAACATCACCTTACTAAATAAAACCAGTTTTATTTTGTTTCTAATCATAGTTGCTCCATTTCTGAGCCGTAAATAAAACCCACTGTTTTAAGATGAGAGTAGCTCAGAGCCTCTAATCGTACATGAGAGCAGTAATTAACACTGGCTTGTGTGGCGGGGTTGGGCTCTTGTTTGCTAAGTGGCAGATTCAACACCGGGAGTAAAACTTTTGGTGTTGCTGACTCACATGTTGTCATTTCCTCTCTCAGATGTCTCCCTGGTGTCCACGCTGGTGTCGGCGGCCTACAGCGGTTGCTTGGACGTCGCAGTGAACGGACAGTCTCTGGACCTGGACAAGGCCATCCACAAACACAACGACATCCGTTCTCACTCCTGCCCCCTCCTGAACTCTCAGCTGTGAGAAGAAGCGGTCTATGAGTAGGTCTTTGTCTTGATGGGGGGAAAATGTCCACTAAAATTCCAAAAGCTTTGACTCATTGGGAGATGGCTTAGATCGAAAAAAGAATAAAACACACATTTTTTATGTAAAATCTGCTACATAAATGGCTGGGGATTTCTACCCTAGCATGTCGGATGGCAACTGAGCAGGAAAATCCATCGAATCCAGCAAATACATGGCAATATATTTTGTATTTTATGTCAGCTGCCAATGTATTACAGGCTTATTAGCCCTTAAGAACACAGGAGATGATTTTCAAAGCAGTTTTAAATGGTTAGAGCCTGATGGTCGGAGTTCTGAACATCCTACCTTTGTTGAAATACAGATTTATTTTAATGTCTTTGCTGGTATTTCCAAAACTTGATTAAAGGGAGTGCTAACAAATGTTAAAAAAACAAACAAACTAGAACTCTCCACTCCCCTGCTCAGAGAAAGTGTCATCATCTGGTGCTTAAACGTCTCTGAGTGTTTGGTGCATAACAACGTGTTGATTGTGAACCGAGACTCGTATTTGCCCTTAAAATGCTGAATCTCCTCTTGAGCCACAGCATCGAAAACACAGCTTTGTGTTTTGCTGATGACCTTGCACATCGTTACAGGCAGAAATGGACTGCAGCCTGGAGCCATTTTTATGATCTCCTCTCGATTGCGAAATCACTTCATGTCTGCCTGCAACCTTAAAAATCAACCATGTGCCTAGAAAACAACAACCCAAACTTGTCAACCGCTCCCCTCCGATCGGGTGAACCGTTTTTTTTGCAATGGTGCAGTACTGTAACAACTCAAATTTTCAGCCTGTGCATTTTCCGGGTGGATTCTGATCCTTTGAAGCACTGAGCTGATTGTTGAGGTTTAGTCACTGACTTCATCGCAGACTCCCCTTCTTTTCCCGAGAGTCACTCAGTCACAGTTAAAACCTGCCACATACCAACCTGACGGCCACAGAAGCACAGGGAGACGGGTCGGGGCGCTGGTCGTGAGCGCCGGACAAAGCACTGCATCAATCGCACCACACAAGCTACTGAGAACAAGAAGAGTGCGCTGTACTATACTGTGTGTAAATAATGTTACTGTAAAATGCTTTAGAAATGACAGAAAGCAAACACTACCTTCTGCTGCAATATTTTTGGATCGTTTCAACAACAACCAAAAAAAAAAACAGACACAAAAGCCTCTGAGTCTGAGGAAAGCTTTGGCAATAAGTTTGTTCGCTTGACACAGAAACAGTCTTTAGGAGCTCGTTTTTAATTTATCGGTGCTGAGCAAATCAAAACACGTTTCAAAGCTGAGAATGTCAGAGGAGCATTTTGACTTGAAACGCCAAAAGGGCTCCGGAGTTATTTTACATCCCTGTCATTTTATAGTTCTCTTATGAATGAATGCAAGTGTATCAAGTTTGACCTTCTATTGTATTTTTTTTTTAATCATGTGTTGTATCTTGAATTTTCCCTTATTTTTATTTTCACTTTAAACTGCCAGTATGTGTACAATGCTGCAAGATGTCTGCCTTTTGAGTTTTAACTTCCCCTGAACCTATTTAAAAATAAAATCAGCTGTATGAACATTATATTATAGAGTAAAATTGTATTTTCAAAAAAAAAAAAAAAAAAGATTTGTGTGTGTGTGGTCTTTGTTATAGTCATGTCCTAAATTTTGGCTGCACTTACTTTGAGTTATTTTTATTACAGATAAAGCACTAGATTTCTGTTCAAGTTGATGTTGTTTGTTTTGGTCTCAACATTTTCAGCATGAGAGAATTTAAAACATGTAGTTGGAGATATGCAGTCTAATGGACGAGGTTAATTAAAAAGAATAAAAACCAGCGGATCTTGAGTAAACTGAGTTTAGGACCTTAAGTTTCCCCCTCTCCCTGGAGAGTAAACACTATACATTTAAAATGAAGTTGAGAAACATGCTTGTAGAAAGTGTGCTTATGTAACAGACTGCTGTGGCCCTTCAAAACGCAACGTCAGCACTAGAGGACATTTATACAGTCGGGTTTATAGGAAAACATGTTGAAATGGGCTGCTTGAGACTTCTGATTTGGCCCGACAGAACAGCTGAAGCAGAGGGAGTTGCAGAACCACATTTTATTGTTTTTTACTTAAACAAGATATTTAAATTCTCCTTTTTTTTTTAAACGTACAGCAACTGCAGTTATACAGTGAAGTCACCGAGTAGTCTCGAGTCTGTTCAGTTGAATCTTCCAAGGAAAAAAAGACATTTCTGGGAAATACACATTTTTCTCACATGAAGGCAGATCATTAAACGCCAGGGTTTGTGTTTACGTAAGGTTGATTTTAAATTTTTTTTTTCTGATCGTCATAGCATCTCTTTTCCACTTGTTTTCAACAAAGACTCTTCGGGACATGCTTCTTTTTTTTCCACTTATATTTTGGTTGCCACTGTATGCACCACTCAAACATGAATGTTGCAAAAATGGACATAGTTTCCAAAACCTATTGTTTGATGTTCTTTCAAAGCCCTTGCAGCACAAATATATAGGTCAAAGATCAAAACAGTATGAATTTCATAGCAGCAGATACTGAATCCCAACAGTTTACACACATCATCAATAATGCACACAGTATATTGACTTTAAGTGCACATTAAATAACACGAAGATTAAATAAGAGCAACATGAATATCATCTAATGTCCTTTTCACATTTTAAGAAAGCCCTTTTTAATTTAAATGAAGATGATCTACACATCTATTATCTAAATGAGACAGTAGATCAGTACATTGTCCTAATATCACACTGTACATTCATAGCGTCCATCAGCAACTGAGACGTAAATTACTGAGTACTTTGGAAATCTGCTTACTTTTGAAGTTTAACACAGACAATATTTTTAGATTGATAAATGTTGGCTAGCAGATCTCCTCTGCAAACCCACAGTCTTAAAATAAACGAGAGAAAAAGGGATTCATTTACTAAATCCTGACGAACAGAAATGCTACTTCAGACATTTACTGTTCTCCTTTGTTTGGTTTTAAAGTCTCATACCTTGACTAATCTTAAACTGTTGTTGAGATCATGGCTGGAACGTTGGACTCCGAACATGTGGTGAAGTGAATTGTAGCGATCCTCCATAAATAAAATCCCATATTTTAGTGTCAGCTTGAGCCTGTGAGGAGTTTGCTTTCTCCCTTTACTTGCTTGCGTCTGATCGACTAAACCAGCTGCAGGAGTAAGCGTGTATCCTTCTGTTTTTGAAATACTGACGAGGCAAGTTGCTGTTTAGGGGTGGTACATTTGATTGGTTTTAGACTCTTTATGAGAGACGAATTCTAATCTTATGTTGAAAATCGGATAACTGAGCTGATTTCCTCAAGTAACCACAGGAAACATAAAGATACACATCTATCAGTCTGTGATCAGTTAAAACCCATAAGACAGAACTGAAATGTAGTGAGTTTTCTCTCCACAAAGACAACCTACAAAAAGTCTTGTGCTGCACCAGGTGAAGACATCCTCCTCCACTTCCTTGCGTGTGCGTGTCGGGGCTCAGCAGGCATACGGTGGGGGCTTCTCGAAGGGGCTGTAAGTGGATCCGTACAGGATGGGAGCATTGGGGGTCAGCATGTAGCCTCCGGGGTCCTGAGTGGCTCCCTGAGACAGTGGCTGGGTGGGCATGTGGGCAGGCTGCTGGCTCTGGCTCTCCTCAGAGGGGTTGGCGCCAGAGCCTCCGTCAGGGATCATCTGGGGGGTGGCAGGTGCTTGGAAGCTGCTGGTATGCTGGCAGAGGAGAAACGGTATTTGGTATTTTTTTTAGGAGAAATGTGCTTTTCATTTCTTTGATCTTTGTAGTGTGGCCAAAAAAAACGTCAACCAAGATTCATCAAAAAAAAAAATCACCTTAAATCATCAGGAGCACCAGGACAACACACAACATCTCAATCACAGCTATGCTTTGGTACCTGCATGGGTGTGGGGTAGTTTGGGTAGGCGGGCAGAGCCTGGCCTGACGGGCAGAAGCCCGAGTAGGAGAGCATGTGCTGGGTCGGGTTGTAGAGGATATGGGGTGGAGGCGCGGGGCTCGGAGCAATCTGAGCAGAGGGCTTCTGCTGCAGGAAGGATGAGAATAATCATTTCAATCAAGGAAAAAGTGAGATATGCAACTATTAAGTTGCACCTGTTACCTAATAGTTAGAACTTTCCCAAAAATGTGTTTCACTAAATCAATTCAACCAGTGAAACTCAACTGTTTAGTGTAATACTTAATGTACAAAGTGACGTAAGGACTTATTTCTGTAGGAACTCTGATGATTTTGATAAACATCCCAAATTCAGTTTCTCGAAAAATTTCAATATCGCATAAGACCAATAGAAAAAGTTTTAAAACATGAAATCAGTGCTATGGCCATGATATGTCTTGACAAATATCAAGAGGAAGATGAGAATCTCCTCATCTGAGCTGAAGGTCACGACTGAAGCAATAGGACGTCTTATTTATTTATTTATTCACATGTTTGCTTCCAGTGAGCCAGATTTTTGTGCAAACTATTAAAATAGTTTTAATCAAAAGTTTTCTATTCCTTCTTAAACTCTTTCTATGGACATTGGCTAGTGTTGAAGACATGGGCGTTAGCTGTTTCTCTGTTTTAGGCCTGACACTCATACTTTTGTCCACCTCATTGATTTTCCTTGAACACAACGTACAGTATGGTGTCAGCAACAAGAGCTCGACAGAAAATGAGCCAGGCGCATCTCTAAGTTAGGCATCATTTCACTCAGCTGAGTTCTCTGAGACACGCGGCGAGCTTATTAAAATAATATATTAGCCACGCAATAATCATAGAGGAGCAGATGTCTGGAGTTCGTTTTCTTCAAAGCCTGCAGGCTGTTAAAGCAGTGTTTCATAAAACTCCAACCACATGGGATATCACACACATTTCATTTTAATCTGGAGTAAGATCACCTTTACATTTTTTTCTTTTTTTACTATTTCTGTGGCTTTATTTTTTCCTGCCCATTCAAATGACTTTTTCATTTTTTCTTGCAATTCTCCTGGACCTGCTGCTCACCAAATCCTTGTATGCTCCAAGGATGGCGGCGTCGATGATGCCCAGGAACATGGCGATCACGTTCAGCACCACGGAGGCCCACAGCAGTCGGTACAGGTGGATGGCGTCGAAGCAGCCGCTGACCCCCGTGAACTCGTAGTATTGGGGGTGGTAGTCTGAGCTGGAACAGGAGGAGGGCAGCTGTGAGTCGTGAAGGACTTGTAGTGTTTTCAGTCTTGCTGTTATGAGCACCGAGGATTTCTACACCCGTTAACATTGACTGGTTCACTGTTGACAAGTCGCTTTTACAGAATCTATTATTTGAAATTAGTTTGCAATATATTGTATTGTAAAAAAAACAACAACAAAAAATAAATCCTGCATGCAACACATTGTAAGCCATGTGTTACACAAACTCTTCGCCTTTTAATCAATCTAAAAGATCATCTCTGTTCATATTTCAGGAGAATGTGGTTCATGATATGTGGCTATTATAATGATGTTTCTCATTTTAAAAAACAAATTTTCAATTAAATAAAAAATTAAATAAATTTTATGTATCACTGCCATCAGGCCTGTTCGACCTGACCAAAAGACGTGCGTGTCAAAGGTCACCCGTTGTTCAAAAAGTACAATATAAACATTTTATAATCACTGTTGAGCAATAAGGTTAGGCCTCATCGGTTATTAGATTTTACTTATGCAGTCGCTCAAGAAGAATTTTTATTTGGTTTTCCTTCAGCTCAACTGCAAGCCAGTATTTACCTAAAGCACTCACTCCTGCAGCCCATTTACTAGGCAAGCAAATGATCAGCTTACAACAGATGGATAACTTTGATTTTCTCAAGCACTCAGGTCTCAAGCTGCATCCTCTGCGCTGTCGCAAGTCAAATTTAAACCCACATGCAATATGAGTTTTAACAATGTGAAGCCAGTTGCCAAAGTGCTTGCTGAATGTCTGATGCTCTCACCTCTCACAGTAAAGGTAGCAGCAGTAGCAGGTGTTGCTCCGAACTCTAAGCGAGCAGGCTTTATTGAACGAGCGGCACGCCACCTGCTGGGACAGTAGGGAAGTTCACCAGGCTTAGAATTGTGTGGGTTTAGATAAGTTGTTCAGGCAAACAGATGTAAATGTAACGTGTGCAAATCGTTTCCAAAACCAGGGGAAAAAATCCAGAAAGTTTTTAGGAGGAGCAGGATCACTGAATCCGAGCTCAATAACTGGATTTCATATATGTAGTAACGCCTTTGTGCCACTAGATGTCACCGCAATACTTTATAAAACATTCAATGGGATTGGTGCTTTTACTGTTTTCTAAGAAAAGTCAGTGTGTGTAGGTGTGTGCGTGCGTGTGTGTACATAGGTGTGTGTGTGTGTGTTTGTGTGTGGGAGTGTGTGTGTGTTTGGGTGTGTGTGGGGGTGTGTTTGTGTCTTGCATGGATAAATGTAAGAGAATAAACCTCAGTAAAGTAGTTATCGTAGGCGTAACCTGATCCACTGCTGTAATAGTTACACATGTTCTGCTCCAAAGGCCGTACGTCCTGAAACAGGCAAAAATATTTAAACAATTAAAAGTGTGAGACACATCATGCAAAATCTGAGCATCCTCCCCCAATCCACCAACATACAGTAAATTTACATTAAATGTGAAAAGCGATGCGCTTCGTGTTGTTATTCTGCCTCTGTGTGCCGCGGAGGCTGCAGAGGTTTACAACATGCATCTGCTCATTTCTGCCCACTGCACTGGTTCTGCAGAAGCCAGCCCATTATTCTTCACTGCACTTTATGCAGCACCAAAGGTAATAAAAGTCATTTTACTTTCCAAGGCCTGAATGTGCAATAGATATGACTTTTACTGCATGAGAACCAAATACATATATCTGTGGAGACCAGATAATATTGGTGATCAATATTAGGAGCTCAGTGCAGCTTTTAGGATGTCATTAAGAGCAGCTGCCTCTGTTGCCCACAGGGGAGGCTGTGATGATCTTATTAGCCCTGTGTTTGCTTGCCTAGAGGTATTCCGGGGTAAAATGTGCATATACTCCTTTAGTTTGTGCATTAACACATTTTCCCTCCTTGATTCCTTGTAGTTAACAGAAGTAATTTGGGGATTTGATTTATTTCGTGACATTCCAATCGGGATAAAAGCTGAAGAAACCCTCTCCACAGGTCAAGGTGAGATCAGGACGTTCGATACGACCCGATCAGTGTGTCTGTGTGAGTCTCGACATGGATTCCAGCAGAAAATCCTGCCTGATTTGTGGGGAATGAGATTTTCTTTGTAAACACTTGCCTGATTTCTTTTTCAGACAAAAAAAAAAAAAAAAACATTTTTATTTATGTTTTTTCAAGAGAAATCTGTGCAATACTTACAATGAACTCTGAAGCAATAATCCCATCCACAATGGCACACAAGAAAGACGTAATAACTCCGATGCTGATGAAGATTATTGCAGCCACAACCTTAAGGAGAGACGGAGACAGAAATAAGAATAAAATACTAATAGACATTTGTAGAATATCACACCATAAACATGTAATATTAAATGTTTGGTTTTCCCTGATAACCAGAGCTTATGGCTTGGCAACCTAATAAGCAAACGCATTGACATAAACACACAGAAATGTACGTCTTAATTTCCTTAAAAATAATTTTAGAATAATTTGTAACCTTAAATTGGCTGTGTTTGAATCATCAGTGTCAAGGTTTAATTTTTCTGATCATGCGTCTGTCTAATTTCAGATCAATGATTGCCCAATGCTGAAAGCCAAAGTTGGCATTTTCCCATCGCACCAAACACACACACGCACCCAAACACACGCAAGCAGGTAATCTTCTCATCCCCGGTGGTATTCATCCTGATTGGTTGTCTGCAGCGTCTGGGCTGCAGGATGATAAAGGAAATGTATGGCTCCTTCGTCTGCCAACATGTTGTGGCTGATTTACAAGCCGGCCCCGGTGGTGACCGCGAGGTCAATCTAATTCCCTCTAATCTGCCACACACACACGCAAAACCACAGTGTTCTCTGTTCCCGATCACTGATCAATAACCTCTACCTTCAGCTTTTTTTTTTTCACTCTTTTTTTTAAGACAAGGTGATCTAACTCACATATCCGCCCGAGTCTTTTACACGGTACGGCACGGCCATTTTGTGATTTCACACCCTCAGCCCTGCAGACGCAGCTGGCAGACCACAGATGTCTGGTAATAAAATTTACTAATCAGCATCAGCCACTGACGTTTAAATCGCCCCGCAGGACGGAAACAACTTTTTTTTCTCCAGAACGTCGGCCTCAACTTGTAATTTTCCTGATTGGTAGCTGGGATAGTCACAGAGATCTATTTCATTTAGGTTATTGGAATGTTTCAACAAAGACTGTGAGAAACTCAAGTCAGACTTTAAATCTGTGAGAAACCTCTGTATTTATTATTCATCTGTAATCTTATTAGAGATTAATGGAGTTTACTCATCTATTTTTAATCATTGTAAGGCAGACAACATTTAACAGACATAAATATGAAGAATTAGAACAAAACATCATAATACAATTTTTATAGGTAACTACACATACTAGCAGGTTGACTTATAACCTTGTAACTTAGTAAATTGCTCAAGATCACCTGGAATATTTTTGCTGTAATTTTGTCATTGCATTAAGAAAGATCTAAAAAAAAAAAAAACAACAACAACAAAAACAGCATTTTTGCTCAAAGTCATCTTTTCAGAAGAAAGTACATTTTTTAATTATGAAATCAAAGTCCCAACCAGAGAAGAGAGACACAGAATCCACGTTGCTTCCAGTCCAGTCGGATCAAAGTCAGTGATGGTTTGGGTTGCCATGTCATCTACTGGTGTTGGTTCACTGTCTTCCGCCAAGCAGGAAGTTTTACAGAATGTCATGTTTCCTTCTGCAGAAAAGCTTCATGGAGATCCTGAGTTCATTTTCCAGCTGTCCTCAGTGCTACAGGTACCAAACGTTGGTTCAGGGATGTCACTGAACTTGATTGAGCTCATGAAGGCTCAAGAACTTTTCAGAAGCTTGACTTTTTGTTCATTTGATTTTATATAAAATCCAAATTTTAATAATCTGTGAGCAAAAATAATGAGACATAGCTGTGTGAATATTTTTACTCTGCATGTACAGTAATAAATATATAAGATGTAGGAGTTTTATTTTCTGAAATAAGTGGCAAAACATACAGAATCTTTCCACATTATTTTTAGATGTATCTGAAGAACGCCTTGCTTTAATCTTCTTACAGCTTTTTCCTACTTTACAATCCCAGCTAAGGTCTTCTTTTTCTTTTTCACTTTCATATCAAACATTTGTCTTATCACCATATTGCAATAAAATTTCCTCAGCTCAATCAATTTGATCACTTCATTTAGATAAGTTGCAGTCGTGCAGCAAAACAAATTCATTTCTTAAGCTGTCTAAACTCTGCTTGCATCTCTCTAGTGAGAACATATTTCCAAGCAAACAACGATTTGTAATTCTGAGAACTAGAACAACAAATTTTGCTCCTTCAACCCTTCATGATGCCCGACCTCTTCACTCTCACTGACGTTTGCAGTTAATTACAGGACTGTTTCACTTTTCCTCTTTGCAGAAAAAAAACCCCATAATAATTAAAACAGAATTCAAATTGTCATTTTCTTCTTGTTTTAGAGTATAGATAAAAAGTGAACGATTTCGCTTTTCAAAATGGCGCAAACATTGTCAAGCATGTTTGAAAATGAGCAAGAAATCTGAAAAAAAAAGAGAAAAAAGATACTTCTAACAAGATTCTGAAATTAATTTTCATCAGCGATGTGAATAAAGAACCGGGCTGAGGAAATGAGCTCTTTCTGGACGGCTTTATCTGCCACTGGTCCAGACTCTCCACTTCATTAGCGGCTCAAATGACTTCGCTTTTATGGGCTGCAAGTGGGAGATGAAGCCATGAAGCCAGCGGCCGAGACAATAGAGCCTGACAACTGCATTACTTCAGATTACCTTGGCCACAGCTGCCAGCACATAAAACATATTCACTGTTCAATTCACTAACATTATTCCCCCAAAGGTCCAGTTGAACTGAATAATCATATTCTGTTTAAGATTAAAGACACACACACACATCTGGTGCAGATGGATGATCTACTCTTGAGATCTCGCTCTACTTCCCTTTAAAGCAACTCTGCAAACTTCAGGTGTGACCTGAACATTTTTCTCTAAAATGGTCCCACTTTAATATCTTAGATCAACATTTTAACACCAGACAAAAACAACCTTTGCAAATCAGCTGTCAGACAATTCAAAAATATCGTTTAAGTAATAAAAATATAATGTCCCTTAAAACATAATAATTGGTGCTGTGATGGTCAGCAGAGGAACTTCAGCCCGATCTTCTGCTCAGAAAAGGCTGAATGTGGCCGCGTTGAATGAAGAGCCGTGCTTCGTGCGTCGTCACAGCGTCTCGGTCGGTTTGAGATTCAACTTTGACGAGACCGCCTCGCTCAGAGGAGGACCTGCTGTTGTCCTTTTGTTCATAGCACTGCTAAATAAGCTGGTTTTCTTTAGCCGATAGGGTGAGAAACTGAAAGTCGGATCTTTTCCTTCAAGGCTTTCTATGAGTGGGAATACAATTTAGCACACACACGTTTTACAGTCACCTAAAAGTTGTTGATAGCTTATTTATTTATGCATCCATCCATCTCCATAACTGTTTATATTTTGTAAGTATTTTTGAAATATAGAAGATTATCCACTTTTATGAAATAAAGGCCAGTTTTCAGCCAGCAGGTTGTTAGATCACTTTATCTTTATAATGTCTCATCAGTTGATCTAATTAGATCCTTTTAAACCTTTTAACCTCTGTAACATTTGTGTCACTTTGTTATTAACAATAAGTCTATAGCTAATAATGACAGAGATGCCTTTATGATCTGCTTCAACAACCTTTTAGTGGGAAACATGCTGCGTGTTTCCACGTGTCTGTTTCCATTACGAAAGCATGGTGGGACATGCACTTTCCAGCTTATGCTAACTGTAGATTTGCGTGAAATGCAACTGGACTTTTTGTATTTTAAAGATATTTATTCTTTTCTTCTCAAGCTCAGTGACTGTAGTGTAGGTAAACTCACAAATCACCATCAGTGTTTTGGTCTGTGTTGAGAAACTTCTACAAAATCTGAAACCCAAAGAAGCATTTTGATACAACTTTCAGAGTGGAGCACTAATGACAAATGGATAAAGACACAAAGAGGAATTTTACTGCCCCTGCAAAGATAACTATCAGGTTATGCAACTAAAATCGCTGACCGCTGCAAGGTCTTCCTCCGCTGATTGGTCGACGATCGTCCAATTGTGACCACAGCTGGCCGCGCTGGCAATAAGAAGTGATTGTGCCGTGGCCTGTTGGGTAAAATACGGCCCGTTTAAAGGCGCTTCTCTCTGAACTGCAAGGTGACCAGGCAGGCAGGCTGCAGTGTGGGAGACACGGGCGGTAAGTAAAGGAGATGTGGCTTTAGGAGAGAACACGAGCTACACGAAGCGTTCAGTCATAAAGAAATCTCTCGGCACATCGGGGCGGTGAGGCCTGTTATCAGAGTGGCTCTGATGACCAGACAGAGAAGCAGTTTTTCATCTTCCTTTCACAGGGAACGCTGCACGCTCCGACAAGTTCCTATAAGATTTCTCCATAAAATATATGGCGGCAGAGTACAAGAAATTAAGACACTGAAGTTTTACTTTGCACATATAACTGAGTGCTGTTTGAGCTGTGACGATAGACCCATCTGTCTCTGGAGCGATGAGGTACAAGTTTCAAGTCTCAATCTAAATGTTCTCTGATGTCAATGAAAAATGTAAATGTCCAAAATGTGGATCTTGCAATTCAACTCTTTCTTGCAAAAGATAGAAAACAAATAAAGGGAAAATGTAACATTTTAGTGACTTCAATTTACAGCTATATTATAAAAAAAAGGAAAAAAAAAGAACAAAACTCTGGTAACACTTCATTTGGTCACACAACACTGTCATAAACGTGACATAACACCTGTCCTGAAGATGAAGGAGCCTTTATGAATGTTTATGACTGTTGTCATGAAGTGCCGTTTGGTAAACAAAGACACTGTCAATGCAAACTCCATTACCAAGAAACTCTCGTCTTTAAACCGAAACATTACAACAAGTAACAACTTGGAATGTTGCTGCATTCAAAAATAACCCAACGAATTAAAACTCTGGTTAAATAAGAGACAGCGTGCAGCTGTCGTCATCGCCTGCCTCTGAATAAGCTCAGGTAAAGTCCAGACGTCTCAATTAGTTTCCTGCAGAAACTAACTAATCTGCAGAGAGCTTCCAGATCATCACATGGATCTCCTGGTCAAAATTGGTTGGTTGGGGGGGAAAAAAATCAACTCTACACGTTACAAAGCATGCCGTTCCCACACTGAAGCATGGTGATGGCAGCATCGTGCTTTGGTACAGTTTCCTTTTCACCTGGAAATGAGACCTACATGGTGGGTGGAGCAGTCTCATAGATTTCATGTGACTGGAAAGGCCAGTAATTTCCGGTCAAAATGTGCCGAGCCGACAGAATCCGACCTAAAAAGAATGAAGGCTTTAAAATCAAAAGGAGCTTCAACAAAGTCTTAGTTGAGGGGCTAAAAACGTTTTTTCTTCATTTTCTCCCCAAAAGATTTCAGTTTGTTTTAGAGATGAGTTGTACTGCTCACACCACAGAAACCAGGCATTTCACCAGGCGTGTGTAGACGTCTACTTTGCTTTCCTTGTGTGTAGTATGGCTTTTTTTATTTTTTATTTCTCTATATTTTGTAAATGTTATTTCGCCTTGCAGTTGAAGAGATGCCTGTTCAACTTTGAAACATAATCTGTAAATCAATGGTACGAATATAAAAAAAAAAACAAAAAACAAAAAACTGATTACAATAGATTGGTTGTTTTATTGAGTTCATAATTTTTTCCAGGGAAGCAGGAAGCGCATGTTTGGCCCCTGCAGATAAACTCATCACTTCTCTCCTTGTTTACATTTCGGGCCATACCAACACCTCCATCTGCTGCTTTATGAGGTCAGAGTACCAAAAGGGTCGGCCCAATCAGGAAACGAGAACTTCGGGGCTCTCAGGTATCCGAAACATTGTGCTCGGGATAATTGTTCTTCTCTGCCGTGCCAACCAGCTCTCGCGTTACCGCGATGGCATCAGATGGAGGAGAGAAGAATTAGACACCCGTGTGGGAGCGAACATCGTGCCTCAGAGGAGACACTGTAGACCAGTGTTGGCGTGGCAGCGATCACACCATTAAAGTTTAAAAGCACAGAGGCGGGGGGAGGGGGGGAGCGATGCCAGAGCCAGACAAGACGCCGCAGCTCGCCGTCTTTGTTCACACGTTTAAGCAACAAAGTTGACGACGCGAAACCCGAGTCAAAACTCAAGAAAACCGACTGAAAATATGACCTGATGACCCTTTGTACAGATGCTTTGTCACAGAGTGTGCTGTGGGTGTCTGAACGGCAGCAGGAGGAGCATCTATGACGCGGACATGGTACGCTGTCTCACAAAGTAAGCCAACGTGATCCGAGCAGGCATGCAACACCCCGGACGCTCCATGAAATATTCACGTGGGCCTCAGTCAAGTTGAAAGGCACAGCGGACACGCCTGCATCATGCCTGCATCATGCCTGCATCACGCCTGCATCACGCCTGCATCACGCCTGCATCACGCCTGTATCATGCCTTGACAATCTATAATGAAACTGCTGATCTGTGCTTTGTTGTAATGTAAGGATTTGAACAGAAACTGGTTTTCTTTTTCTTTTCTTTTTTTTTTTTTACAGAACTTAAAAAAAGATGAATACGATAATCGTTAGAATTAGGATTATGAATGTGGTTCAGATGTTGCTATTTGTTTATGGTAAAATGCTCATGGCAAGCGTGATAGCTTTGAAAATTAAAAATAAAAGGGTTTATATCGCGTTCCAAATTATTATGCAAGTGATATTTTCTCAGATTTTCTTAAATGGCCGATGCAAATGATGCTCAGTATAATTTTCAAATCATAAACTATTACAGCATAAATCACATTTTACTGAACAAAGCTCCCCATGAGGACAGTATTTTTATTTCAAAAATAAAAACTCAAAATGCACTGTTCCAAATTATTATGCACAGCAGATTTTCTAAACATTTTATGGATTATAAAGAACTGCAAAACGGTTATTCTCTGATAACCTTCATTCTGAAATTAGATGTTACAATGAGTAAAGGAGTTATGCAATTGATTTTCTTTTGTTTTGTTCTGTATTTTTGTGTCATTCCTCATAATGCAGAAATAAATCAGGAACGTGGTTTTAAAAAACGTACAACTGTATTTATTGTTTATCATTATGACTACTGTTAGGTATTTGGAGTTCATTGATCAGTTTAAAAACAGCAAGTTATTATTATGTTTGGAGGTTATGAAACTGATTTATGATATGTGTTTGTGCAAAGAACCAAATCTCCTCTCCATACATTTTCACAGTTTTTTGTTCACAGAGATTAGACGGATTAGACAATAGAATCTTTTTCTTAAAGGGAAAAATAGGAAGAGCGACAAAAATACAATAGCGACATTAAAGCAAAGAGGAGAAAACTAGGCATGATTAGCTCTTTTTAGTGTGTGGATTAGAATAATTAGGGGAAAATGAAACATCAAGCAAAAAGGTTTGTAAGTCATCGGAGTCCCGTTCAGTGGTGCTGGGTATCATGCTGAGCTTCAAGTGCTGTTAACTCGATACTGACAATTAAATGTCATGTAACACCTTCTGTGCTTTTGGTTTTGTAGCTGCAACGTATTTGACCGTCTCTAGACTTTTATAACAAACTGGTTTGAACTGGCTTCTGGCCGATTCTGACCCAGTTCAGCAGCGGGTTCTTCCCAAATCTAAAACTTCTGATTTAGAGTTGGGATTTGGGAGTCGTGGATATAACCTTTTTTTTTTTTTAATTTTTATTATTATTACCTTTTGGGGTTTTTTTTGTTTGTTTTGTTTTATGCAAGGAGATGTCGGTGTTGTCTGTGTTCCTGTCCAGAATAAAGGATCTCTGCCAGCAACTGGCCAATACTAATGCAATTTTCCCTCTTGTCATTGAAGTCTGGAGACAAATTTTCTCCGACCACAAATCCAGCCATGTACTCTGACCTGAGCATGAGGAACATGAACTCATTACGCTGCCATTGAGTAATTTGATTTGTCTCTTGCTCACAACACAACAATTTCCCGCAAAACAGTTTAGCAGATTTGCACAGTCTGTAATGTAATCCTATAATTTATGTTATATATGTCTTGTTTTCCTGGAACACGGCCTCGTTTATAGATGACAATTCTAGTGAAGCACAGAAAGCAATAACTCACCTGGATGCAAAACAAGGAAATATTGCACAAGTGAAGTTTTCAGTATCACAAATTTAGATTTTGTTTGAAAAACTTGAAATCATGAAACATTGCTGTATCCTATTTTATTTGTGCGATATATCACATTATAGCCTCTTTATGGGGTTCTTGAGTAACTAAATCTGAGTTGAAATAGACCACGAAACACTGGATGTGTGACTAAGATGAAGAATATCTACAGTGACAGTTTGGTGTCTCTTTCCAGCGACCATCGGGTCAGTGGCAGGATACTCTGGACAGGTCACCAGTCCATCACTGGGCTATTTCAATCATTTCTCAAGTCATCAAACTAATTGTAATGTCAGACAAAGATAACCTGAATAAATACCAAATGCAGTTTTCAAATGATGAGGCTAAAAAGTCCATCCAAACCAATCTGGCTCTACGGTAAAGGTCATTTTATTTATATTGCACATTTTCAGCAACAAGGCAAAACAAAGTGCTTTACATGAATTAAAAGGAAATACAAACAAAATAACAAACCAAAGGAAAGAGCAAAAGAAGAAAAAGCTAATAATGTTGATCCAAAGTGAATAAACTAGATAAGTAAACTACCTTTACCTTGAACGTCTCTAAAAACAATGTATCCCTGACAAAACACACAAAACCATGGGTGTTGTGTCTATCTCACCATGTTAGACACAAACAGAAACTCACCATGGGTCTGCGGTTTTCCACCAGGTGGATGCCAACAATTCCCAGAAACGCTCCAAAACTGAGCTGAAGAAACAAAAGAAATGTTTGTGTTAGTAATTTAAAACCCACCAGGTCACCTTATAACTTTTTTTAAATATAAAAAAAAAAGAAATGTTTCACTCACAGTGATGCCGGGGTAATATCCAGACACGGACACGTTGTCAGTGCGTGTGGCCGAGACGAGACCGACGGTGAGGACCACCAAAGACAACGCCAGCAGAGACACGGTCACCCACAGAGCCGTCCTCCTTCTGCGGACATAGAGACCTGAAAGACAGGGAGAAGAATCAGAATGAAACAGATAAAGACGGATGTCCAGATTCTGACATAAATGTGGCTAAATATAGTGAAAATATTTCTGCACAAATCATGGAAAATAGATATGTGACATGCATTATAAGTATTGATCAACATAATATGATATTCTATGCAACTAAAGCACCCAGTGTTGTTACGTAATAGTTTTCAATTTTACAAACATTTATGCATGTGATTCACTGATTGTTGCATTTGATTCACCGTGCAAAAGAATAGAGATTTGACTCCCATTGCTTTTTAAACTCTTCTACTTGCTGACAACTCGCTGTAATCATTTTTTGCAACCGTTATGGGAATTATTGAGCTCTTCCTTTCATTAAACAAACTTATAAAAGTGATTGCTCCTTCTGCCCAGCAGGAGATAATGAAGATGTACCTCCTCAAGTATTTAGTTCATTCTGCTCCCTTTTTTCACTTGAATAATTTAGAGTTTTTGTCTTCCTCCCAAACCTAAAGGTGCATTTGTTAACACAACAACAATATCAACTTGAAGAAGGCTGATGATCAGTTTCACGGTGAAAATGAAGAAACATGCTGAACAGTGTGAATGATGCTCATTTTTAAAGTTACCTGCAGAATCCTGAGTTTCTGTGGTTGTTTGCTGACTGCTCTGTTGCGTTTCGGGCTGCTGCATGTTGCTTCAATCAGGATGAATTCAGTCTAAAATAAATAACAATAAAAAACACAGTCCAGGTGGTTTCTCTTCAACTAACGCTAATTTGCTTCAAAATAGTGTCCTCATCCTGCACGGAGTGACGCGACCGGGTCCCGTGTTTCCAGTCCAAAGAGGTGCAGGACGATCAGAGGAGGTTTCAGACAGCTGACTGTGAAAGGTCCGAAGGGTTCAACTTTACTTGTAGCCTGAGAGGAAGGGAGTCACACAGAGAGAGGAGGAAGAAGAAGCCAATCAGCTCCCTGTGTTTCCCCCCCCCAAGTGGTGAATCACTCAAATATTTATCTTACATAAGTTTTATACAGCTTCAGATGGATTGCTGTGGAAATTATTTACAGTTCTGAGGCTAATGATGCATAAAATGAGGTTTTATGAGCTTTTCATGACTATGGGAAAGAATCATTTCAATGAGTACAGCGCCCTCTACTGGAGAGCAATGTATAGGATCTCTAATGAACTGCTGCTGAAGCTGTATTGAACTGACAAACATCCCATAACAAATACATTGAAACAAGAAAAGTTGAAATAAAAGTAACCTACATTCTATTTTAAAAAAATTATTTTAAAGCGTTTTTTTTTTTTTTTTTTTTGCAGCATCTCACAGTGAAATTTTTAATTATAATTCATCAGCCATCCATTATTTTCAGTTTCATTTTTTCCAAAATCTCTGCGGTCATCCTTCTCACCCCCAGAAATTCCTGTAAAAATGGCGTAAACTGAAAAACGCCTACCTTGGTTTTTCAGGCAATCAGATTGTTTGGGAACTTTTGTTATCCTTAACAATTCATTATCGTTGGGTGTAAAAGTAATCTGACACAAAGCATTAACAGAATGGGAAAAAGAAGAGAACGTCCCTTTAAATGGAGGTAAATTTGTGCTGACCTTTAAAAGTATTGAATGTGCGAGGGCAACATAATGAAACTTTTTAAATATGTGCGAAAGAGTAAAATTATAATCTTAGGATTAATTCACCTTCATAACAACCATTCAATTTAAGGTTTTTATTCACATTTTTCAGAGGGATTTTATTAATATTTAACATATTCAAATAATTATTTACAATGATTGACACATTGTCACCGTTTTTGTTTCGGCAAAAAGAGATGATTATGGTGGAATTTGAAAAAATGAATGAATACTTTGTAAATGCATAAACTAGAATATTAAACATTAACCTCCAACATGATAGGCTTGAAAAAATGTTAAACTAAAATAAAGGACTTATGAAACTTCACTTTTTTTTTACTCCTAAGTAGAACTGTTACATTGAGAAAGAAATCTGTATATTTTGCAAAAAAATAAAGAAAAATGTTTTTAAAGAAGCCTGATGAAAGATCAAATAGCTACGCAAACTGTTGAGTAATTTCTTACTCTGGAGTAAAGTTGTTAAAAAGCACAATAATCCTATAAATATCCTTACATTATGCAGTTCTTGAAATACAACAACAACAAAAAAAGAATCATCGATGACATGAATTTTCCTTCGCTGACTTCTTGCTTGAAAAGTGCTCAGTTCTCATGACAGTCCCTGTACAATCGCTCTCATAGAGAAGAGAGGTTTCATGTTGAACTCTCAGCACAGCGCGCAGGTGGAGGACTTGGGCGGCTGCTCCAGGATGGATTCACGCCGCAGGTCGTTGGGCAGGGTGCCGCCGGGGCCCCACACGTTGAGCTCTCCGTAGATCCCGGTCTCTATCATCTCCTCCTGCCAGGGGATGGGGATGTTCCCTGTGGCGAACTCATCGAAAAATTCCTTGTCTACGTCTTCCAGAGCCACGCCTTTCACCGTGGAGAAGGCGCCGACGTTATCCAGGTCCTTGGCGTACACCGTCTTAGAGTCTGGCACGAAAGGGGGAGGGAGGATTCCTGAAGGGGACAGAAGGTGAAAGAGTTTGTCTGAAATAGTTTGATGTTGGAGACATTGGTGTTATAAGATTCTCATCAGCAACAAGATATCTAATGTTCTGGTGTTTTACTTTGGTGAGCGATCCACTTAATATTTTACTTTCACAAAGGTTTAGCACAGTAAAATGTTTCAACTGATTTAGTTTGGTCTACTTTTCAATAAAACCAAGGCTTTTAGAACAATATTTGGACTTGTTGACGGTCCAAACAGGGTTGGTCAAAGCTGTGAAAGCACTGGGAAATGATCAGAACCTTGTGAGTTTTAAAACTTGATAATAAAATGGCACAATAACAGTTAAATAGCTACAACAAAAGTGTATCCACCCTGTTTGGAGAGGTTCTGGTCAACTGCCTCTGCATTTGTTTACATGGGAAAACAGTGAACAGAACAATGAAGGTAAATTGTTTCTATTTATTAAAAATAAAACTTTACTCTATTAGTGTAATATGGAAAAAGGATCCAATGAACTACAAAATGGACCTGAACTCATGAGACTGACATCTTTGCACGTTTGCCATCAGCTTTGTTTCTGTCTCAAACCGACCTGCGTTCAGTTTCCTCCAGTTGATATCCTGGAAGAAGGGGTGAGCCCTCAGCTCGTCGCACGAGCCGTCCTTGAACCCGAACCTCTTGTCGACCTCCTTGCACAGCAGACCCTCGCAGATGGACCGGGCGCTCTCGCTGAACTTTTCGGGATAGGTTACGGGATCGTTCAGAATCCGTTTCTTCACCACCTTGTTCTCCACCTGACACGACAAAATGTAACTTTTGCTCAAACTCCAAAATCAAGGGTGTGTTTATTAACGCACGCTTTCTTTTCTATATACCTTCTCTCCGCGACTCCTGAAAGGTCCCTTAGCAGCCAGGAACTCATAGAGTGTGACTCCCAGAGTGAAATAATCCACAGAGTAATCGTACTCTTCGCCTTTAAGAAGCTCGGGAGCCATAAAACCTGAACAGGAGAATAAGAAGTTGTCAGTGTTTACACTGGAGCATCAATTTAGATCTGATGTCATGAATGAAACAAAACAAAAAAAAAAACAAACATTTATGTCACAAATATTCTGTTTAGTGTCTCAGTCAATCTGTTATCTGAAATCTGTTAATGAAAAATAAGCAAATCAATCTTGAATCTAATTATTTTCCTTGTAATTTAGTTTTCTTGATTTAAGATCATGTCTCTTTAAGGCAGTGGTTCCCAAATATATAAAACCTGATTCTGTGACATTAGATAAGAATTGACTGTATTGCTCTCACACATTCAGTTGAAGCCAAAAGCCTCGGTTCAAAGAGGAATTTCTTACTCTCTCTGTGTAAATGTTTTGTCTGTACCTGGGGTTCCAGCGTAGCCCTTGATTTTGAACTGATCATCTGCCAGCTCCACGGCGAGACCCAGATCAGAGATTCGTACGTTACCTGTGAGAAAACCCCCCAAAAACAAAACGGCACAGAGATGTCAAAGAGTGCACTCTCTAACAAACTTTATTTGCTATTAAAAAATAACTATCAACTCTACATGTAGTGTGACAACACAAAACCATCTGTTTAGTGTGTTTTTGAATCCTTGCAGATCTAAGAGAAAAAGCTTAACTCTCCCCAGTTAAGCTCTCATTATGTGCTTGTAAGTGTGCAGAAATTCAGTGCCTTGCAAAAGTTTTCATACTCCTTGAACTTTAAAAGGTGGTAAAACACAAATGTAAGCCACAAGTTTCATATTTTTAATTATATAAAACAAACAAAAATCAAAGCATGTGCCTTTTTCTTCTGCTGTTCAACTTTGCTTTGCTCTGTCACGTAAACCACTGAAGTAACATGACACAATAATTCAACAGGTAAAAAGACTTCCGTTAGGTTATGGATATTTAATAATCTTGGGCAGATTTGATTTATGAAATTTATTTTGCAAGACAGAATTTCACTTTCTACCCTTCTGCCATGTTTACAAAGCAATGGCACTTCATTCCCTATCAGTAAATGTTTCACTTAACCAAACTCAACCCTGGGTTTTAGTCATTGGCTTAAACCTTTGGATAATAAGGGGAAAACTAGCTTATTCTGATGAGTTAGCTGCATTTCAAGTTTTTCCCTTCAGTTGAGTGCATGCGTTTCTGACCCTCATTGTCCAGCAACACGTTCTCTGGCTTCAGGTCTCTATAAATGATCCTCTTCTGGTGGAGGTGCTCCATGCCCTGGATAATCTGTGCCGTATAGTAACAGGCCCGCGGCTCATCAAAGCCTGGGTTGTTCTCATCCACATTGTAAATGTGATACCTGGAAGCAAAGTTATTGATCAGGGACAGGGAGGAAGACATTGTGTAATTTGAACTAATCTGAAGATGATATGAAACAAACAATAATAATAATAAGTGTAAAAGTGTTGATTGAAGTTTTAACCTCAGGTCTCCTCCATTCATGATGGTCATGACCAGACATAACTCGATTTTTGTCTGGAAGGCATAAGCCAAGGAGACAATGAACCTGCTGTGAACTCGGGCGAGGATCCTTTTCTCCACCATCGCTCCCTAGAGGCAGAAGAAGGTAGTAGTCGTGAGTGAACCGCCCTGGCCATCTTCATTCACAGGCTTCTTCCTGATCTCCAGTCGAGCTTTTGAGGAAGTGTTGTGGTTGCTGCTTCTACTATATTGTCAGATTTCATGGTTTCCCTGAAAGCCACTAGCTCAGCTGACCTGATCACACAGTGTGTTTTTATCAGCTCTCAGTTTGTGCACCTTCTATAATTAAAAAGTTTTTTAAAAAGTAAAATTGTGAAGACAAACGCATTTCTCTAACTTACTGTGTCTGGCAGTTGTGTGGAGAGTATTTCGATATAGACTCAGTAAATATTAGTAAAGCCAGTTTAATCAAGCTTCCACTGAAAATGATCATTTATTTTGGGAGTGACTTGTAGAGACAGCGTGCCTGAAATTTGACTCCAGCACATCAACAATCGACAACGTTTAACACGGTTAGAAAATTATTTTCCTTTTGTATGATTGCAACTGGTTTGATATGTCTTTCTAATCCTGCATGTCAGTAGATTTGGAAGCTCTTTTAAGGTTATTACACCTTTATTATTACTGAACACAGCTTGCACCGCATCAACAGAATCTCTTACCTCATAACCTTTTCTTTTCTTTAACCTTTTCTTGTTGAGCTTTTTGCAGGCGTACAGTTTTCCCGTGCCTTTCATCTGACAGGCGGACACTTCCCCAAAGCCACCTTTACCTAAAACGCGGAAATCCAAAAACCAGTCCTCTCCCACCGGCTGCGTCTCCAGCCACTTCCACTGCAGGAACCTCTTCAGATACATGCTCTCCATGAAGAAAGTGTAGGGCACTTCTTTGAGGAAGTCCATGACGCTGTCCAAGGTCTCATTGAAAAGATCGTCGCCGGCTTCCTGATGTTTCTCCTTGACCTTTGTGATGCCATTCTCCGGCAGAAAGGGGCAGTAATACTTGGCATCGGGCTCCATGTACCGAGACAGGATCTTGCTGGCTTTACTGGCTCTGTCCTCGTCCTCAGCCATGTTATATTCCTCGATATCCTTCCAAAGACGGCAGGGGCCTTTGTACTCGCTGTTGGAGTCCAAGAACTCCTGGAAAAGCCGTTTGCCGATGGGCTGCTCCACGCAGACAGTGTTGAAGCCCAGATCCAAGGTTTCACGCAGACCTTCACAGACGGTGATGTGAGGCAGCTTCAGGCGGGCGCGGAACTTCTTGTCTCGGTTGACGGCTGGATTGGCGGTGCCATCGAAGCTCCCACGGGCAGAGATGTAGGCAGAGTTGGCCACCACTGTGGTCAAGCCACCAATATCCATGGTGATACAGAAAAGAAACAAAAAAAAAAACTATTCAAAGAGGTTTTAGCTGAAAGTCTGTAAAGGAGGAAGCCCAAAACAAGAAGGAGGATGTAGGGATTTATTCTTCCCTTAGGGATTTCAGAGGCAAAGTTTATCAGCCACCTATCATCCGCTCACAGCAGAGACCTCAGTGAGGTGATCACTGAAGCTCACAGCTTCTTCTCACTCCTTCACACACATGCAGACACATGCAGATCGGCCTGACTCATCACCTTTCTCCAAAGGGATTTATCCGCTCCGTTATCTCTCTAATGCTATATCCTGTGCTTAGCCCATGTGCTCCCTGCAAGAGACAAGGAGGTTGAAAACAACGCAAGGAAAAGACAAGGGAGGCGAAAGAGAAGCAAGAATACACCAAAGTTCATTACTTTCCAGACAAAATAATATGCATTTTTATGATTTTCTCATATATTTCGTCAGAGCTTATTTTAGTCAAAATTTGTACAGGCCTTATAATGGTCTTAATGGTTTGCTTTGGTTTTTGGTGTTTTTTTCTCTGATTCTGTATAACTAACCTATTATCAGTTTGTAAAAGATTTAAGAAAGTGTACAGGAGGAGAGCATAAAACAGGTTTAAAACCCTCTGTGGAACATATTAAATGTTTCTGTATTTTATATCTTAAGAAAACAGAAGAGGAGGAGATCCCAAATCGAGGACCTGAAAGTGAGATCATCCTACATTTGATCATCGACACGAGGTGATTCTTTAAATTCAGGAGGTTTGCCATGCCTCAGTAATTCAAAAATCAAAGTTAAATGGCAAATATTCCTCTGACAAAGGTCAGATACAGAAACACTGACAGAGAAAGACGAAACACGACCAACTTCTCAAAAACCTACATGTGATGAAGCCTATTGTAATAAATCTCTTTGCAACATTAAATCCTAAAACTCTCAGCATACTTAACTGAAAATAAATGTCCAAAACTGTTTCAACTTTTTTAGAACTGCTTTTATTCTGGCCAGATGTCAACTGATAGAATTTAAACATGTATTTTTTTTTTTTTACGTTTATTGAACATACAATAAACATTGATTTGAATGGATGCAACATGAGAAAGTTTCACCTTAAAATAAGATTTTATCATCATTACTGTTATAGCTCACTACTTTACTTTAGGAAATGTCCTAACAAACAATGCGCCTGTACTTGTAATGGCAAGCAAAATCTGTGTTCCTATAAAGATGCGGCCACACATGTAAAAATGTCTATCAGTGAACATCTCCTCCCTCTAATAGGATGAAGTCTTTCAGAGATGTGCTGACCGCAAAGTTTGTAGGTTATCAGCTTATGCAGGTCTGCTCGCATGTTTGCACACACACTCAACACACAACGACACGTGCGGAGCCGTCGCATTCACAGCTGAGCGTCGCGCCGATGTTAGACAGGGTTTCCAGGTAACCAGAATGGGCCATCACGTGGATTGATGCATGTGAAGCTGCTCCGTTGCACGCTTCTGAAGTGCAAAACGTGAGAAACGGTGTCATTACAATTCATTTTTCTTCATTCGAGTCCTCGTTTGTTTCATTCTCGTGAAAAGTGCTACATATGTAAATTATTTAAATCTTAAATTCGGAGCCTGAAATCAGGAATGTTGATTTTCATTAATATTGTGAAGCCAAAGATGAACACTTTATTCAGACAAACAAATAAAGTTCAAAGAAAATAACATTTGTCATCTTATTTTACTAAAGATATATAAATCCAAGTAAGTGCAAAACATATGACAGTCTGAATAAAAAATTTTAATGACAGCAGAAATAAAATACAAACTTCAATTTAAAAAAAAAACCTTCACACAAATAGAACACATGGAACTAATAAATATCAACAGTATTGTCTGATGGTGATACATATTAACATTGCACATGTTTTCATACATTTACATTTCAGTGTAAAAGCTCTTCCATCATTTTTGACATTCAGAGGACGAGTGCTGGCATTTTTTCTTCAGATAACACCGGTGAATAATAATAAATTATCAAACGTAATTCTACTGAAACATTTGCATTGCCTTTGTTGTTTTAGTGCATTACAAAGTAGCAAACAAAACAACCCAAAACTTGATTTCTGGGCAGATTTAGTCAGTTTTTCTGAAACTCTCAGTAAGAAAAGGATGATATTAAACCAAAGTACCATTAACGTTAATCAGGAGAGATCTTTGACTTCAGCCTGAGGCAGGGTCTGAAACCATTGATCACTGTTTGTAATTTCACAACAGAGAAATCACAAACAGTAATGTCAGCATTTATAAAGAAAAACTATAAATAAGCAAACATTTATGTGGAGAACTGTTAAGATTTGGTCCATGGATTTTCAAAGTTAATGTGCAAAATGAGACGATTTTGAGCTCAGCATCATAAAATGTAATAAAAAACATTCTGTAGAGACATGAATAACAGTCTAAGTATTAAAGAAAACATCTTCCAGTGGAATTATTTTAAGAATTTCTCTTTTTTATTTACTATTATGGTCAGCAGTAGTGTTGGATGAGAGATTAGAAGCAGATGAAATCCAGCTAAAAAAAAAGTAAAAGTAAGAGTTCATGTGATATTGCAACCAGCTCTAGTAAAGTCACAGAGAGATGTTTTTTTTTTCAACCCTGATATTGGTGTGGTCACGTGACCGTTTTGCGTTCGGGGCGAGGAACCCATTTGTGTGTCGTGATTCTCCACAGCAGCGGAGCCAGCAGCAAGCTGAGGGTGGTGACGCTGAGGACCAGCAGGTACACCTGAACAGAGGCAGGCAGTTTTACTCTCAGCATTTGCGGTTCAGTTGTTAACATTGCTTTAAATGCTCGAAGGCTGACCTCCTGCATTTGGAGTGCATCTACACAGTGATCAACCACAGAAAAGAGAAAGAACGAGGAAATCCATCCTCAACTTTAACTCGGATATAAATTCATCCTCTAACATTTACAGAGTTCTACTCTTAATCACTTTAATTGAGTAAAGACACGCATTATATAGCAAGACGTTCACATGTTAACATTTTAAGTACCAGCACGACTTTTAAAGCTAATTAAATTCATAAAACCATGTATTAGTTGATCTAAACATATCATCTAAATTTTGAATTGATACTTTCAGGTGTTGCATTTTACTAACTTTGTTGTTATTAACAGATTAGTGCAAGTTCACACTTGAATCCACGTTGTAAAGATTCAGCTCACACAGATTAAAACTGAAATAATTCATGTTTGTGAATTATTTCAGTTTTATAATTCACATACTGTAAAACATAATAAAAAATGCATCAGCTGGCATTATTTAAATGATGCAAAAAATAAAAGTCTTGTGACAAGTCTTGTTAAATACCGGCAGATTAAATTATGCCTCAACATTAATATATTATTTTGCTGACAGAAACTAAGAAAAGCATAAAAATCATAAATGAAATGTAGTCTGCAAAGAAAAAGACTACCTGTGGTCATTTTCTAAGCACTAAAGTTGTTTTTGTTGTCTACACTTATCAGACAGAAAACTTTTTAAAAAAGCACAATGTTTTCAAGTTTCCTTTCAGCTGATTTGTTGGATGTTTTCTGTACAGAGTGAGCTCTGGACTCACTCTGTGCCAGGAATTGACAATTTTCTGTTTACCTACTTACAGTCTTTAGAATTAAAAATAAGTCTAAACTGGCCGAGAAAAACCTGACGCAATTCTCCTAAACAGACCGGAATTTCATCCAGCTCATCACTCACCTCTCTGGAGATGATGCCGGCTCGACGTGCGCGGCTCCCCAAGACGAAGGAGAACTCGCTGACCTGCGCCAGACCAGCTGAGACGATCCACCGGATGTGTCGGGAACTCGGAGGCAAGATGGTGGACAGCACCAACACGGCCATGACAAACTGGAGCAAAATGAGAGAAGTCAGGAGATGAGGAAACTTCATCAGGACAGACTGAAAACAAAAACAAGGAATTGCTGAACCTTCATGATGACGAGTGTGAGCGTCAGCACCAGCAAGATGGTGAGCTCATACAACACAAACGTAGGGAACACGTGAAGGCCTGCAGCATCAAACAGACAAAAGAGGAGGATTCAGCACAGTCTATATGTGAAAATTATAAAAAAATGAAGCAAATATCACAGAAAGATCATAATATTCAGCCTAACCAATAGAGGCAAAGAAGATGATGGCGAGAAAGTCTCTGATTGGCTCGATGCATCCCATGATCTCGGCTGTGACCATATGACCTTGCGATGAAAGCAAAGCTCCAGCCAAGAAGCAGCCCAACTCCATGGAAACATCCAGAAACTCTGTAACCTAAAATACCAAACAAATCAGCCTCTGGACTTCAAGTTGACGATCGTACAAAAGAAGTCACACCAAATTTCTTTGAATCGTACCGTCAGCATGAAAAAGACAAACGCTGTCATCCCCAGTACCAGGATCTCCTTGTTGCCTTTGCTCTCAGCGTGGAGTTTCTTATAATACGGACCAATCAGGAAGGATCTGAGCACCAAACAAAGCAAAAAAACTGCAGCCAGCGACACCAGGACATGAGCCAGGAGCTTCAGCACTCGCAGACCTCCAAACAGAAAGCTGGTTCGAACAGAGGAATCAAAACATTTACAGGATTGTAAGTTTGAGAAGGAGGAATTTATGATGAGGAAACAATAAATTACAACTTCCTTACCTGTCCAAGTCTCCACTCTGTGCCTGGATCAGAGTGGGCATGACAGCAATGAAGAGGCCAAGCTGGACATCCTGCATCACCAACATCCCGAGGAGAACGCTGCTGTACTCAAGGTCACCTGTCAAACACACACACGCACGCACGCACACACACGCATACCACTGTTTAAAACATTGAATCAGTCAGTAACTAGAGGAAATAATTTCTGAGTTGATGATGTCAAACTTTCTCTATTAGCTTTGTGGCTCTATATTTTAAAGTCATCAGAAAAAAACTAGAATATAAAGAGAATTTTATTAGCTGTCCAAGTCAAAATTACCCATGTGAAATAGATTGTACCAGCTGCGAAAAACCATTAAAGCTTAACAGTGGAACAGGATTTCGCAAATTCAAAGGATTTAAATACGTCCTATATGGTCAACAGGTCAGCCTTTTTCTCCAACCCTTTGTTGACAATTTCATATAAAAGTATGCAGCAAATAATAATAATAAAAAAAAGACATTT